ATATTCAGAACTTGAAGGTGTCTACTGTTGGTGTTGGTGTAATGGGTTACATTGGCAACAAGGTTTGTTCCTTCTTTAATTTTTTTTTCTTAAATTGAATGTTTGATTTTCTTTCTGTCATGTTAGCACTCCCTTGAATCATATAGTTTATATATTGTTTAGCACTCCCTTGAATCATATCGTTTATATATTGTATATAAGCTCATGTTCATGTGCTTTCTAGGTTGGACACTGTATTTAGGCTTTTTGTATATAAGCTCGCTGTTTCTAAGTTCAGTAAGTGTGATTTACTTTAATCTTTGAATCAATTTATTAGAATCTGTGCTATTACATTCTATTATTCAATTTCTTGCTGTTGGTCACTGTTAATTCTGCTATATTTAGCTAATTTTATGGCCATTCATTTTTCTTCCAGGGATCTATATCAGTCAGCATGTCCATATATCAAACATTGTTTTGTTTTATATGCACTCACCTGACGTCAGGTGCAAAAGATGGGGATGAACTTAAAAGAAATGCTGATGTGCATGAAATACTTAGATGAACTCATTTCCATTCCCTTTCTGATATTGGACTCCCCAAAAGCATCCATGATCATGAGTGAGTAGATTTAAATTTCTAATGACTTTGTGGTTATCTACTTATCTATCATTCTGGTTCTTGAGATTGTTACCTTCTGATTGTTCACATAATATCTCACAAGTAGTTCCCCCCAAGTTTCATGGACCATAAGATTCTGGAAAGCAAAAGAAATATACCCTTTTCTTATTTCTTGCTTTCCTAACATGCATAGCATCTGAATAAACTAAGATTCATTTCGCTTGTTATGTTTACTATTTCCTTTCTACTTTTAGAACCAAAATTGATAAAGTGCATTTGGATCAAAAGTGAAAAGTGTTTTGTTTTTCACAAATCTGAAATGTAACTTTTTGCATAACAAAATGGCTGGTTTTACTTTTATACATTAAACAAACATTAAGGATTGATGTACGTAATCGATTTCAATCAACCGTGAACTTGCTTTTTACTGTTCTGCTTTGCTTTATAACAGCTATTGAGGGAGCAAAGAGCAAGTAATAGAAGTAACAACCGAAGAGAATCTAAAAGCGTGCATGTGCATTAGATTTTATTCCAGAAGCACTTTTAAGAGGACGATAGACAGTATTAAATAGGTTTAAGTAAAGCTTGTCTCAAAATTTTTGTACCATTGTTACTGTAAATCTCATCATTTTGATGAGGTATAGTTTATGAAAATCAATCGAGACTAAATCATTCATAGCACTTGAATTGGTTAATCCTTTTTCAAAATGAAATAATTATGCCTTTAAAATGTATTTAGAACCTGTAGTCTTTCTGGCATACTAATTGTTGGAAGGATAACTATTTTGAAGGAATGATACCTGTTGATAATTTTAAGTGTAAAAAGGTAAAATTGGGCTTCCTTATACAAAGAATGAGTTGGCTGTTAGTGCCTATGAATATAACTCCTAGGGGACATTCATATTTCAGTGTACCTACCGAAAACGTTATATATATTTATGCATCTATTTCTTTATTTATTGAGATGTTATGATTGTTCAGTAAATTAGGAAATGCATTCCTTGGACCGTATTTATCTTATTCATCTGTCATCGGCCTGATCACATATATGCTTAACAGAGCTGCTTTTCTTTTACTGTTATTCTTTTTTCAGAAGAATAATTTGGTTGGGTGATCTAAATTACCGTATCAACCTGTCATATGACAAAGTATGTGATCTCATCTCCAAGAAGGAGTGGTCCAAGTTGATTGAGAGAGACGAGGTAGTTTAGTAGTCCTATGCAGTCTAGGTTATCAAATATGAATTTTAGGCTGTTGATAGGATGCTAGTGTAGTAATTAGATATATTATCTATAATCTTGACAGCTTGTACAAGAGCTTCAGAAAGGTCGTACATTCGATGGATGGTCTGAGGGAGCTATAAATTTTGCTCCAACATACAAATATGATCTGAATTCGGATAAATACTATGGAGAAGATCCAAAGGTTGGGAGGAGAACTCCTGCATGGTATGATTAACCAAGATTATACGATTTATCCTTTACTGTTTCTGTCTTGTGAAATTTTCAAGTAAACCTTATCTCTCAGGTGTGATCGCATCCTTTTCTACGGTAGAGGAATGAGGCAACTAAGGTATAGCAGGACGGAGCTTAAACTTTCTGACCATCGCCCTGTCAGTGCTGTATGCATGGCTGAGGTTGAGGTGTTTTGTCCAAGGAGACTACAGCGTGCTCTCACCTACTAATGCTGAAATCGAAAATGAGGAAGTTGCAGCAGAGAGTATCCAATAATGATTTTGGAATTAGTCCCTGGAGTTGACTAGGGGAGTGGTATGCCTTGTTTCTCATCCAGGAACATAGGTAGCTTCTTTCTACCACAAGATGTTAATGGTCAATTGTCTCATGACTGATACCAGGGTCCAGGGAAATAAAGTAATGCTGGCTAAGAGAGTCAATGGTTCAATGATAATATGGGGTAAAACGGGCGAGTAGTCGAAGATCATGGCCATAAGGTAAGGAAATTTGATTGAACATCACTAGAAAGGAGCATTCTATGTTGCCTTAAGAGCAGTCAAATACTTGAAAGAAACAATTTGTAAAAAGGTTATAGTCAAAGGATCAAATTGAATAAAATATAAAATAAATGAACTAAAATAAAAATTATTAAAAATGAGAAGTGAAGTTACATAAATATATTATAATGATAGCTGAGCTTTTGATTTAAATTTAATCAAAAATAAATTTAAATCTAATGATGAATTAAAGAAATAAAAGTACCATACAAAGTTAAGGTATTAAAATAAAAAAAGGAAATATTATAGAAAAAAATATATTGAATTTACATAATTATTTTAGAGTGATTTAAGAACATATTCAAATTTAATGAAAAACAAACTTAAAATGAAGAAAAAATTGGAAAAAAAATTAAATACTACATCATAAAATAATCATATTACTTGTAAGACTAGATCCACATAGTATTAATTTTTAAATTAGTCATCGCCTATTATTTAATTTCTATTTTAGTCACTCAATTGTTATTTTAAAAAAATATATCCAATGTTATATTTTTTATTTTAATCATTTATTGTTAAAAAATAAAGATAAAAATTAAATGTTAATTTATTAACCATAAGTGATCAAAACAAAAATAAAATATAATGTTAAATATAATTTAAAATTGTCTTAAATGCATCATTCCCCCTAAAGTATGCCATTTGTATTGAGTTGCCCCTAAAGTATTTTTCATAATATTTTATCCTCTGATGTTTAAATCGTTATCTCGTTTGTCTCAAACCGTTAATTCCATTAAAAACAACATGGGTAAATTAAATATTTAATCACTCAACTATTTTTACGATTCTGTTTTCGTCACCTAATATTTTTTTTCTTAGTGGATGATTGAAGGCGAGAGAAAATAACTTATTTTTCAAACTCCAGTATAAAAGGCAAGCAACAACAACATGACTTGGAGCATAATAAGAATCTTGATATGGTTCCATTATGACATTGAAAACTCGTCTGTGCAATTTGGATAGATTAAATTGAGGGATGGAAGATTACGGTGGTTTGGGCATGTTCTTAGGCGACTACCGTCGGATGCGGTCCGGAGGGTAGAGTCGATTACAGTCGACGATACCAGAAGGAGAGGACGACCAAGGCGGAAGTGGGAAGACTGCTTGAGATCTGATTTGATGGATTTAGCCCTTACCGAGGACATGACCTCTGATAGGAAAGTATGGAGACTAAAGACTAGGGTAGTCGAGTAGTGTGGGTCACATCTCTAGGGTGTATCATCTCTGTCTTCTTTTAATACCTTTGTAGTAATTTCCATGAATTCTACTTTTTATACGTTTCTGTTATTGGTATTTATGTAGGCTTAGAACTGGGTTTGTTATCATGGACTTCTGTGTTCACTTTTAAATTTAGTCGGGTCTTACGTTTCTGTCTATATGCAGAGATTTATTCGCAGGGATTACTTCCCATTTCAAACGCGCATATAATATTAATGATATTTATGATTGCATATGAATATTGTTCAACTATGTATTTATGTATTTATTTATACATGCTTTGCATTTTATTATATTTTTAATTTTCTGATTGCCGGAGGTCTTCCACGGAAGCTACTCTCAACCTGGCGTTGGGAGCAGCTTACTACCCTACCTCCCCCTTACCCCATTGCATATGGGAATTGGGTTTTGTTGTTGTTGTTGTAAGTTGATTTTATATGTGATGTAAATATATTTTATACTTATTTAAAATTAGTCCTTTTTAAATACGAGATTTAAATTTACTAAACATATACATTTGCAAATGAATAATGATATGTTCTTATCTTCATTTCTTAAAATATTTATGATATTTTAATTTAACATTTAATATTTCTTTTATTAAAATTTCAAGTACAAACAACTTAATATGTTGTTTATTACTTACGTTATAATAATATTATTATTATAAATTAAACTTATATGTCGAGTAAAAAATATGTGGTATAAATGAATTATTGTATATTATAAATATAAAAAATAAATTGAATCGAATTAGGTGACTAAAATGGAATAAAAACTTAACTTTAATAATTATTTCGAAAAAAAATTAATGAGACGACGAAAATAAAATCGAAAATAGTTAAGTGACTAAACATATAATATACCCATGTTATTTTCAAGGAGTTAACGGTTTGATGCAAATAAGGTGGCAATTTAAACATCAGGTGACAAAACAGTCCGAAAAATACTTTTAGGATAATTCGATATAAATGACTTAGGGGACAATGGTGCATTTAAACCTTTAAAATTTAAGAAACAAAAGTTAAGTGACTTAAATAAAATTTAAATAATAGAGAGGTGACTAAATAAATAGTTTGTCCTTCAAAATTTTGAACTCCACTCTAACCTAAAAATATGAACTTTAATATATTGAGATTTTATCCCCATCGGCTCTGCCTCTCAGTGTTGGGAATTTCTGGAAAGCTAATGCTGCAGACAAACCCAAAGTAAAACCTACAAAAGCTATCTGGGCGCAGAGCATGGTGCACAAAACTATGATGGCAGGAACTTCAAGAACTCTCCTTTCTGTCTCTCTTCTTTCCTCAACCAAACATTTCACACGCAACCCATTCATCAAACTCCCTGAACCCTCTAGGGCTTCACCAGGGTTTAAGCTTTTTTGTACTGCCCCATCCCTAGTCCCCACAATCTCTGAATCAGCTGACGATTTGAAACAGTCCATGCTACTTGAAAGGCTCAGAATAAGACATCTTAAGGATTCTGCTAAGACCCATTCTTCATCATCACCCTCTAGGCCTCGAGAAAACCTGGCTGTTTTGGTTAAAGAGAGTGGAGATAAGGGGAGGAAGAAGAAGAAAGTTGTGGTGGATAGTTTTGAGGAGTTGGGTTTGAGTGAAGAAGTGATGGGTGCTGTTAGAGAAATGGGGATTGAAGTTCCTACTGAGATTCAGTGTATTGGGATTCCTTCCGTTTTGGAAGAGAAGAATGTGGTTTTGGGTTCTCATACTGGCTCTGGCAAGACTCTTGCTTACATGTTGCCACTTGTTCAGGTCTCCCTTTCTTTTCATTTTTTTGTTGGGTCTATCGTTGTTTTTAGACTAAAGTTGGATTTTTAAGCAGTTTCTTTGGTTCATTTTCCTTTCATTTATTTATTCTTTTACTTACTTTAATTCTAGTATTTAATGATTGGAAGCTGCATTTTTCTTATATTTTTTTCCTTTACGTTGTTTGGTTGATTCCACTGTGCTTTGGATGTTTGTCTCATCAGGCCTTGTGGAAGTATTGAAACTCGTGGTATTTCTTTTTGTATCTTTATTGAGTTTGACACTGAATGCTAATTTGCATTGGAGTTGTGATTTTGGTTTCTTAGCATTCGCATTATACCGTGTATGATTTTGCACCCGCATTCAACAGCATTGAAATCGTGATTCTGTTTTCTGAGTATTCCTTTCTTACTTCTAGCAGTTGAAGAAGTAACAATTATCACGTCGGTTATGTTGGTACTGGAAGTTGTAAGAATCTAAAGGCATTTTGCTTCTGTTTTCTTGTCTTGCAGTTGCTGAGGCGGGATGAGGCAATGTTAGGTATGCTAACAAAGCCCAGGCGTCCTCGAGCCATTGTTCTATGCCCCACAAGGGAGCTATCTGAGCAGGTTTTGATTATTTAACCCTCAGAATGTATTCAACATTTATAGAATTTGGCTTTATAACTTAGGATCATGCGAGATCAAAGTCTCATGCATGGTTTTGATTGAGAAAAAGCAGAGAGGAATCCTTTTTGACTTTTATTCTCCCATCCTGGTTGATTGTCTTTCTGTTACAAGATTACCATTCATGGCCTTTTAGGTTTTTCGTGTGGCAAAATCTATCAGCCATCACGCAAGATTTAGGTCTACTATGGTCAGTGGCGGAGGCCGGCTAAGACCACAAGAGGATTCTTTGAATAACCCAGTTGACATGGTAGTTGGGACCCCTGGCAGGGTCCTTCAACATATTGACGACAGGAACATGGTTTATGGTGACATCAAATACTTGGTAAGGATGGTAACATATTTTACAAAGCTTTGTTCTGTATCCTACAATAAATAGTACATTTTCTCCTTTTGTTTGACTATTTATGAAGAGCTTTGGTAATCTATAAACTTGGCAATGTTTCCATCTTTTGTTAGGTTTTGGACGAGGCAGACACTATGTTTGACCGTGGCTTTGGTCCTGACATTCACAAGTTTCTTGGTCCACTAAAAAACCGTGCTTTGAAACCCAATGGTCAAGGATTTCAAACTATTTTAGTTACTGCTACGATGACTAAGGTTTGCTGCCTTACTTACTCTTGTGCTGTTCATGTTATGCACTAGTGTTGAAACTAAGTTTTGCTCACAAAATGTCATTATCTACCTTTATATTATTTACAGTTACTCCATTTACTTTAACTAGGATCTAGATTTTGGGTGATCAGGATGTTGCAATAAAAAATTCATTCTGTCTCACTTTTTCAGTCATTATAGTTGTGATTATTGTTATTTTTTGTAGTCCAGGGCCTTAGATTTTAGTGGTGAATCTGCAATATTGCTTCCAACATTGAGCAACCTTTTTAAGATTTAATGTTGGCACATATTGAAGGCAAAGTATTGGAATCTTTTTAGTGATCTACATTTGGAGACTTTAACTTATTTAGAGAAAATTTAGGCACATAATTACTTCTTTGATGTTTAGGTTAATTATAACATTTTAACGATTTTTTATGGATTTAATGAAAATTTCAAATTTTAAAATCTGTGAATTTTTCAGGCTGTGCAGAAACTGATTGATGAGGAATTTCAAGGAATTGAGCATCTACGAACGTCATCGCTGCACAAGAAAGTAGCATCTGCTCGGCATGATTTCATCAAACTTTCAGGTTCTGAAAACAAGCTGGAAGCATTGCTGCAGGTCTAGTCCTATGATATTCTTTATTCAGTATCTTGTCATTAATAGTGGTTTGTGAGAAATTTATAAAATTTATGCAGAAAATATCAAGTAGAACACATTATAGTATTATTCGAAATAAGAGGACCATATTGTTGTGCTTTTCAAAAGCTTTTAGTTAATAGTTAATACTCATGAAATTATTGCAAGGAGGGTATCTCCTATGTAATTTGGTGCATCTGGTAGAATTCAACATATAATTTTAAAATTATTATCCCTCAATAACCAAGTCTATGCTTTTGACTATGATTCCCTTTTTACATTTTTACAACTTTGATTATCCAGAATGATTTTAAAATTATCATAGTTAATGTAGTTTTAAAATCAAGGACTCATCTAGGTTAACAACTATATTAAATCCTTTTATATGAGTGTTAATTGGCATTATCTCCCACATCAGTTATGTATGTAGTTTGCAGTGGTCTTAGATTTGTGTTGGGCTTTCTCAACTATTCGCATTTAGTTGTACGTTGTATACCCATTCTTTAAGATGATAGTAGTAGCCAGTTGTTTGTTGCTCCCTTTTTTCCTCCAAGTACATGGTATTCCTGTATTACTTGATGGCTAGTTGTGAACTAGTGCTTCTATTCTAAATTGCTTAGAGTTATAATTTGTTATGTCATTACAGGTTCTCGAGCCTAGTTTAGCCAAGGGGAACAGAGTGATGGTGTTCTGTAATACATTGAACTCTAGCCGTGCTGTAGATCATTTTCTTGGCGAAAATCAGATATCTACTGTCAATTACCATGGCGAGGTGCCTGCAGAACAGAGGTGAGATATTACAAGATGCACATGGAATATCTAGTGCTAGATTCAATGCTCCTATGGATGTATGTTGATATGGGTCCAAAGTAAATAGTCCAACTGTTTTCTCATATAAACAGGGTTGAAAACCTGAACAAGTTCAAGAGCAATGATGGAGATTGTCCCACATTGGTTTGCACCGACTTGGCAGCTAGAGGACTGGACTTGGATGTTAATCATGTCATCATGTTTGACTTTCCCTTAAACTCTGTAAGCATTGTATCTTTGATCAACTAGTTTAAGTCTTAGCTTGCCCTTCTCTTGAATCCGACTCCTTTGCTTTTCTGCCCCCTTTCTTTATGATTCTGTCTGCTCTTACTTTTCTTTGGCCTTTTAGATTGACTACCTTCATCGCACTGGAAGAACTGCACGAATGGGTGCCAAGGGTCAGTGACCGTTTCATTTCAAGTCTATGCATAACTTGTTTTATTTCTCTTCGCATAATTAAACATGCTTTACCAACTTCACCAATCCTAATATTTTTTCTTTCAACCGATAGGTAAGTGTACTATTGGAAATTTACCAAAGAAAATTTTGGTTATGCATCATATTTCCCAAACACCATGGTATTATCATCAATAAACTGTTTATAATTCCTCATTGGAGATCAATTTGTTCATTGAATCCTCTTTTGTGTAAGGGTTTTGCTAATGTCTAACAAGTGCCCTTAGGGCATTCATTTTCAAAATCCTTATATATAGTTATACCTAATGCCATATCTTCTTTGTCTTTTGCATTCAATGCCATCCATGTCTTCTTTTCCTTCACACAGAGGCAAGGCCATTTTTATCGAGTTTAGAAGTTCTTAATATGTGACCATTTTTATTCTTTGAAGTGGTAAAAGATCTTACTTTCAGCAAATTGAAATCACACAATCTTCATTTTTAAGGGAAAGTAACAAGTTTGGTGGCTAAAAAGGACTTCTTGTTGGCTGAAAGGATCGAGGAAGCAATAAGAAAGAACGAGAGTTTGGAATCTCTTACAGTTGATAATATCCGAAGGGATACTGCAAGGGTTCGGATTACTGAGCAGAAGGGGAAGAGTGTTAAGCTAATTAAGGTGTCAAATCAGAAAAACAAGGCTAAAGATGTGTCTGTGAACACATCCGGGGGGAAATCTACAACTGCAGTAAAATCACGCACTCCAGCCAAACCTTTGAAGAAAGTGTCGGTAAAATCTCACAGTCCAGCCAAACCTTCAAAGAAAATGGTCGGGATCTCAAAAAGCTCGAAGGCTGCAAAAACATCTGCAGTAGGAAAGAAGAAGAGCACTAGCACGAATTCTATGGGGAAAAAACTGAAGGGTTGGTTTTAGGGGACAAGCTTCCTCGAGCAAGGGAGAATCATTTAGGCCTAGTTGATTGTGGTCAAATTTCAGGTTTCTGCAAATGGCTTTTAACATGTAAGAATCATTAATATAAAAAAAGGAACTTACATTATACGCATATTTCTCTTACATAGCACCTACAATTTGATTTGTTTTCCCATGTTGCACCCTTCATGGATAGCTGAATATGCCTTGTTAGCATTGAGGCAAGTGGGGAGTTATATCTTAGCCAGCTCTGCAGAAAATTCATACATGGGGAGTTATATTTTCATACTGTTTGACTAACCATATCAATTAATTTCTCTATGTAGATAGAGTTGATATAATGTTTAACCCTGAACTTTATAATTAAGACCATATTAGTATTTAATCTAAAAAAAAGTTGAAAAAACTCAAGTATCAGTGTGGTTTATTTAACATTCTAATATTATTATATAAGATGATATTTGTATTTGGTTTTAATTTGGATAAACTCATGCACACATGTAGAAAGAGCTGCTTAATCTCATGTCACTTAAAAGGGTACATCATTCCCTTTTATATGTTGGATCGCACCTTACATTTAGGCTTTTAGATAATTTAAATAAGTCTTTTACATTCTTTCTTAAATTTTCTTTCTAAAAATAAAAAAAGTCAATACATTATAAATAAGAGAAAATAACCTCAGTGACCAAAAATGCCTTATAATATACGATTTTAACCAATTTTTTTTGGATTTGCCAAAATGACCAATTAAATCGCAATGCGATCGATAATTCCCAACTCGCAACGCGATTTCTGGTATCGCAAATCAGTTTCCAGATTCGCAACGCGAACTTCGACTATCGCATTGCGATTTACATATTCGCATTGCGATAGTCCAAGTTCGCGTTGCAATTTTCCAAATTCGTTGCGATAGTCGAAACTCGTGTTGCGATTTATTCCAAATTCGTTGCGATAGTCGAAGTTCGCGTTGGGATTTATTCTAAATTCGGGGTAGTGCATTTGTTTCTTAAGAATTTTCTCTAAAAAGATAGTATTCGCGCGAACATATCGAAGACACGTATTACCACAACCACGACCACAAGACGAGCACGACCACGACCACGACCACGAGACGAGACTGCGGCGGCGGCGGCGCGCGAGAGTCCCCCTTGTTCTCTATCACTCAACAAGGAAGTGGGAAAACCAAGCCTTAAATACCATTCCCAATAGTGTTTTCAATACTATGTGGGATTGAGCATTACCAACACTTGTTTCCAATACTATGTGATTATTCAGGAAACAATTAACAATCATGCACCTTAAAATAACTGAATCAACAACCAATTGCATTAGTATTATACGATTAAATATGTCATAATTAAAAGTCAATCTACAATCAATCGCGATTATTGCAATTTTAAGCAAAACATTCAAAAATAATATCACTATTTAAGGCTCAATCCCACATAGTATTGGGAACAAGTGTTGGTAATGCTCAATCCCACATAATATTGGAAACACTATTGGGAATGGTATTTAAGGCTTGGTTTTCCCACTTCCTTGTTGAGTGATAGAGAACAAGGGGGACTCTCGCGTGCCGCCGCCGTCGCCGTCCGTCTCGGGCCGTGGCCGTGGTAATACGTGTCTTCGACACGTCCGCGCGAATACTATCTTTTTAGAGAAAATTCTTAATAAATAAATGCAATATCACCAGTCATTGCGATTTTGGACTATCGCAACGAATTTGAATAAATCGCAACACGAACTTCGACTATCGCAACGAACTTGGACTATTGCAACGAATTTGGAATAAATCGCAACACGAACTTGGACTATAAATCGCAACGCGAACTTCGACTATCGCATTCGCGTTGCGAATCTAGAAACTGATTTGCGATACCGGAGATCGCGTTGCGAATTATCGATCGCATTGCGATTTAGTTGATCATTTTGGTAAATCCAAAAAAAATTAGTTAAAATCGTATATTATAAGATATTTTTAGTCACTGAGGTTATTTTCTCTATAAATAAATATATAATTCCCATAGTACTGATTTGAGCATTTTTGTTCATACATTTAACTTAGCGTCTTTTTTTCTTATAAAAAAAATCTTTGTTTGGACAAGATAAATGTACGTTTTATATATTTTTTTACGAGGCTTAAAGACTATTTTATCCTTGTAATAAATCAAATTTATCATTTTTATCTCTATAATTTTTTCGCATCAATTTAACCCTCGAAATTATTTAAGAGCATCATCATAGTCCTCGAAATTCATTTTGACTAACAAAATCATTAGTCTCTTGTGTTTATCGATGTCAACAATTTCTACGTCATCCAATATTGTTGACTTGACTTGATAATGACGTTACATTTATTTAAAAAAAAGTAAATAATAAAATATTTACTAAATACAACGGTTAGAAAAAATCTCAAAAAATTAACCTAAACTCTTATTCTCACTAAAATAAATAATAAAATTTTTAGAATTTTTTTCTAATAATTGTATATAGTAAATATTTTAACATATCCCTTAATCCACATACGCAAAAGACTTGCAATTCTATTAGTCAAAAGTGTAAGCAAATCAAGAATTGCTTGATCCTCAATCTCCTAAACTTTCTTATGAATCTCTAGCGTCAGTAGTTAGCAGGATTAGCAATTTAAATTGCGAGTTTTAAATGTACTTTCTTAATTAAAATGGCCGCTCCTCAAACACTATCATATATAGAAAGATGAAATAAAAAATTGCCTTAAAAATGGCTTGCATGTAATAGCATAATTGTTTCGAGAAAGAGACATTCACTTCCTTCCGCGAACTCCAGGACCTGACCTTGGACCCGGGTTCCGGGAAAACTGAAGCCTCAAGTAGTTAGAATCAGGATCATGTTCATCGATTTTATAACCTGCACAATCCAATAATACAGTTAAGACCTCGAGGGAAGCATTAAATGCAAATGCCCGTATCGGCCAAAGGATGAGAGACTCAACTTTTGGCATATGATCTATTTTCAATTGCATGTCCTAACTGATGGCATTCCTTTTGCGAAGGAGAAAAAAAATGACAGTAAAGAAGTTTGAATTTCTCTTTGAGTAAGGGGTACATGTACCTAACACTTGACTCGAGCCAAGTGGTCAAATGTAGCAATGTCTGCCTAAAGCATTCATTGTATTTCCTATAATTTTTCTAATAAGAAAAGAACATGTATGTTTTCTGGTGAAAAGCTACTTCTATGAAAGTCGAAATCAAAAATGGAAGAAGAGATCACCTTGCAAGGCACTCATTGCAGTTGCTGCGCAGGCAGGACTTGAAAAATCAACAAAACAAAGAATAATATGTTCTCCAGCACGCTGAACCAATTACCCAAGCATATTCAAGCATTCAACAAACACTAATGATAATTTCCGAGCTCTTAAGAAAACAAAATAAGCCCTGATAAAGAAGACAAATAAGTATTTGCCGATATCTAGTTCACTTACATGTTTGTATTCTTTGCTCACTAGTCGTACTTCTTTATATCCCACAAAAGGGCGAAATATATCTAAAGCCTTGATTAAGGAATGTGAACCAACAATCAGAAGCAAGGTAATTGAGTTAAAATATATTTTATTAAGCATTACTTAAATAGGATACGGGATACTTCTCTCCTTGTGCTGTCAGAAGGAAGTCCCTCAACAAATAGAGTATTGGAAGCATCTGGGGGTAGAGGTACAGTATCCCGACCCAGCCTTGACATCGGGTCCATGGGAAATTGACCACCAAAACCAACACTTCGACCATTTAGGACCAGATCTGAAGCAGCAGATGCAGGACGACCCATAACAGAGGATCAGCCATTAGACAAGCAGGCATTGCACCAGCAACACCCCTTCCCAGCCCACCAAATGCACTAGCTTCTCCAGAAGTAAAAGAAGAAAGTTTCTTCAAAAACAATTTAGCGAATGCTTTAGAGAACAAAAAGGGAGATGCATGATGGGGGATAAATACACAAGTGAAAGGTTTGAGGGTACCGCACTCTGGAGATAACGATCATATGCCGATCCAATTGTTTCTGTATCTTTCACAGACAGGATTCCACCTTGATCATCATCTCTTGCCAACTTATTGTGCATCTCATGAATTGGATGCAGACCAGAAGGTGGGGGATCTGTGAAAGTTGAAATATAGAATATTAGCGTCAACTTTTTCCTAATACGATATATATATATATTTGAAATAATCTTTCAAGATATATGAATAATTGAAACAATAATATTTCTTAAACTCATTACAAACAAACTGGAAAGATCAAACAAAAAGTAAATGACTGCAATTCCGAACAATTGACAGCTATATAAGATGAAAAAAAAGTAAACTTGTTGCAATTAGACACTATGCAGTATGCGCATACAACTTCAATTATTTTTGTTTGTACAAAAAATGGAAATTTGAAAAGGAATAAAAAGAGGGGTAAGGAAACAATTTAAATAATCAAAAAGTAAATAAAAAGGAAAGGAAAATAAAACAGGCTAAAGACACTCTATGCCTTTGGTTTCAATGGTCATCCATTTCTTCGCTAAGAAGCACTTGATATCTTAAACACAAGGTTCCTATTGACTATTGAACTGATTATTTGGAACAAGAGCACTTAAACTTTCCAAGTGTTAGCAGTTAGTTCAAAGGCCACAAGCCATTACCAAGGTAGTTAAATCTGTTGGTTCTGTTGATTAACCGCCATTACCAAGTGTTCGCAGTTGCTCGTCTATCGAGTCTACACTATAAACAGTCTTTTTATTGAATTGAGCATATCAGATTCTTTGGCGATGAATCCAGAAAGATGATTCTTTAAGTTCAATTTTCTTTCATTTTTTATGTTTTCTCTTTGGCTTTCTTTCTTTTTTCGAATAACAGCAGTCCTCTCACATAAAGCATTCATTTACATTGCTAAAAAGCAGTACCAACTTCCAACTTGTTCCAAGCGTTCTCATACATAAATGTGTCTAACTGAACAAATTAACTCCCCCGGAAAAAAAAAATCTTCCAACATAAAGTTTGAACAAAATTCCACCAACCTAATAAGAAAGTTACGAATTTTCCTATACTGATATCAAAAGCAGCTAAACCTAAAACAGAATTGAACAAGAAATCGTACGACATAGGCAAAGATAAAGGGAAAGAAAATGATTCAAAACGGAAAAGAAAGAAGCATACCGTAGTCAGTACGAGGTCGTTTAAGTATCCCACCTGATGACAGCATCGGAGAAGTCGACTGTCGCCGATTCCAGTAATTATCCGCCATTAGCTCCGTTTTCAATCTCCCCTGCCAAAATAACAATATATATTGTATTTGTTTTTATATATTTTATCGATTGAGAAAAAATATAAGGAAAATGTATTTAATTGAGAGAGCAAGAAAGAAATGGCCTTGGCACAAAAATGAGGAAAACCCTAGGCTATACTTGTCCTCTTTGTTTATTTTCCTCAGATTCTTTATTGGGTAAACTATATGAATGGGTCATTGAAATCTGGTAGGTTTCATTTGTTCCACTTAACTTTCAAATTTTATAAATTAATCACCAATGTTAAAGATTTGTAAGTAGTAGTAGTAAGGGATGGGTATGGGTTGGGTTGGGTCGGTTTTTCAGTCCACTCGACCCGACCCAAAAATTATAAATCTTCCACCTGACTCGAAAAATATGCACCTTCCACCTAATCTAAATATTTTTTTTGAGTAAACACTCTATCCAAATCTGACTCGATTTTTTGAGATAAAATTCAAATCCTACCTAGCCTAACCCAAAATAATATATTTATTAAAAAATATTTTTCTTCTTCAATAAAAATAGGGATTTAATTGAAAGAAAATAATATATACAGGGATATTATTATAATTATCCCTAAATATATAAGGTAAAATTATATTTTTTGGGGTCGGGTCGGGTATTTTTCAACCTAAACTTGAACCCAACCTAACCCGAAGATAACCTTAAAAAACCTGACCTGGCCTGAAACCGTTTTTTATTTTTTAAAAATGACCCTATCGGTACAGCCAAATCGGAAGTCGTCGAGTTCGACTTCATACTCATCCCTATTTATAACAAAATAATCACTCTACGTTAACAGTAGTTAACCTCAATAACGAAAAATTGAAATGAATCATTAAACACACTTATTTGGACCGTTCGTTGGGGAATCACTAGAACCCCTATTTGACGATTCAATCATTTTAATAATTTTATGTTAATGAAGAAGCACCATCAACTCCATACAAAAGACTAACAATTCATTACATCAATTTTGTGATGAAACATATGTCCATTTGTTTTCTTAAATGACAAATTAAAGATAAAAATGGGTAAATATTTAAAATGAGGTAACTACACAAACAATTAATAAAGTTAGGGTAAACTTTTTTTTTCATCATTAGAAGTGAAAAAAGCTATAAAATGATAAATGAAATTATTAATTTATAGTAAAATAATTATTGTTACATTATTAGAGTCTATTTGTGTTGTGATTTTAGGAAGCTCGAATCGATAATCGAAATTGCTTGCAAAGAGGATCGGGATCGGTTTTTGTGTTTAGGGAGTAAGGAGATTAATGTTAGGACCGTCGGCGCACCCATGGCGCAACGGAAACAAAACTCGATGGTCTCACCAACGATCCAAGTACGAAAAACTGAAATCGGGAGAAGAGATGCGAATACTTACAGCGGGTTCCTTGAAAAACAGCAAGGAAAGCAGTGAATTCTGGTGGTGTAGATCGGTTCGAATCGTAAGCCTCCACGAAATCACGTCTCGGCCTCTACTCAGTTCACCCGATTGAGAGCAATTTTGTTTTCCCCCAAAACAGTTTTGAGAAAAGTGGCTGAAGGTTTTGTGTGTTTTCTCCCCAAAACGGCTGCTAGACCTAATACACCCTTTTATAGCCAAGTTACCCTATTCATATTAGGGTTTTTATTATTTCAAATTAATTAAATCTATATTTAATTAATTAGAATTTAATAATCCTTTTATATCCAGATTTTATTATTTCAAATTAATTAAATCTATATTTAATTAATTGAAATTAAATATTCGGGATTATTAAAATATATATACTTAATTAACTCTAGATATATTTTAGTAACGTACAACAAATTGTACATTTTTTCTCGTTTCAATTTTAGGGCGTGACCCTGTAGGTTCTTGTAACATTAAAAGTAATTATTAGAACAATTCTAATATTACATACAATGAGTGACATCTAGCAATATATCATTGTCACCTAAGTTACAAGAAAATATGATTCGATATATCATCTTGGTGATTAACTCTTTTATGTATTATATCCTTATGTCCTTTATATCTAGAATAGGCACAAGTCTTGGAATAGTCACACTTGTATAGCCCATCTATTGTTTCTTGATTTCTAGAGTAGACTTTAATTAACGAATAGTTTATGATATCTCATATCAACTTATTCGAGCATGGCCATGCGTTTCTAGTCTTACTCAATCAAGTGGCCTATGATATATTTCCTATTATGTAGGAAAGACATATCCTATCTTAATCATACACACCCACTACATATATTGAGATATATTCAATAATTGTCTTTATAGAGCAACCAGTTACGGAGCTTGTTTAGCTGCATCAAAACATACAATGATATATGTTGGGATAGTATTGATCTCAAGTCTGAGGATCATACATATAGCCATCACCATGAGTAATGTTGTGACTGTCACATAATAATCCAAGACATATGCTCATGTGGGTCAATCCAATACATTGTTCTCTAACAATATAATCATGTATTAATTCTGACATCTCTATGTCAATGACAACTCGTTGTCATCAATCAATAACATGTTAGTCTTGAGCGTATTATTATTGTCCATGCCCATAATAATACTTGACTAGGGATCTTTTAATAATAACAATTATGTCATTATATGGACTTTATTATCTTCCAGTTTATGTTAAACACATATATATAACTGAAAATAATAGCGGCAATGCCTTTATTCAATAAAATCGGTAAATAAAAGTATTATTACAATCATCATATGATTGGTCTTTGGGCATACTCTAACAATTAAAAGATAGAGAATTGCACAGCGATTTAGAGTGGTTCGACTTCTCAACCAAGTCTACATCCACTACCTTAGCTCCTTACCAAGGATTTTCCAACAAATTCACTAATTTGTTATTTATTTTGAGGACAAAGAGTAACCTTACAAACTCCCTAGTTTTTCCGGGCTAAACTAGAACATTTCCTTAGCTTTTACACGGGATTAGCTAGAACCTTTCTCTTTTACAAAATGATAAAATAAGTAAACAAGAAAATCTCTCTAAGGTATGTATTTACAAGATTGAGCTCACAAGAACAAAATATTTACAAGAGAAAGATGAAATAAGAATGAAAAACTCTTCTCTTGTGTTTGATTGCTTGGATAGTTGTTCTCTTTTTTCTTCAAGTGTCCTTAGCTTATATTTATAGCTTGGAATGTGTTTGATGTTGTATATAGCCGTTGAGGATGTTTTAGAGCCATTTTGGGGATGATTTTTCTACTCAAAAAGGTTACCCATAACATGGTGCATCGGTGCACTATCATGGTGCATCGATACCCCTTCATTAAATTCAAATAAACTAGCCGTTGCAGCCTTCGTGCATGGATGCATAGCAGGATGCATCGATGCACTAATTGCATTTGATGTTTGAGTGCATGGATGCACTGCATGGTGCATCGATGCACTAGTGCAGGTGCATGGATGCACTGCAGGGATGCATGGATGCACTGCAGGGATGCATAGATGCACTGCAAGGGTGCATGGATGCACTGCAGGGATGCAGGGATGCACTGCAAGGGTGTATGGATGCACTTTGACACCCTTTAGCATTTTGGCTCAAATCTGAATTTAATGGACTTTGAATTATTTTTGAAACCCTTTAAAACTTTGAATAAATTCAATTAAGTCCAAAAACATTTTGTAAATTCAATTCAAGTCCAAAAACCATTTTGCCTTAAATTGTTATATCAAAACATAGTTCAACAATCTCCCCCTTTTTTATATAACAAAACATTTGAAAATTGTTTTTGGCAAAACTCCCCCTTGATAAATTGTTTAATGAAAAAGATATCAATTGTTAACAATTGTTGGAAAATATATGAAAATGTTAAGCTCCCCCTTTTTCATTTAGAAATTGAATTTTTCAAACCAAACTTCTCTCCCTTTTTGTTATATCAAAAATAATTCGATCTTTGAAGTTCAAAATAACTTTGGAGATTAAGTGTTAAATTTGACATTTAAAAATCATTTGAAAAATCAAAGTTCCCCCTCAATAAATGCATTCCAATCAAAATTTAGCTTTAAGAACTTAACACTTAAAAAGAAATTGAATTTCTACAAAGAATAACAAATGTGTTAGTAACACATGAAATTCAATATAACCAAGACTAAAATACTTTATGCAATACCAATTGTTGAAATTTGATATCAATACCATTTGTTAAAATTAAGTGCATATGCATAAAGTTTTCAAAAAATGTTATGCATTTTGAAAATTTTGATATCAATTGTTAGAGATATATCATTTTCATATAAACCACATGTATAAACATTCAAATTTAGGTCAAAAATTTAAAATTTGTAAAATCAAAGTTTTTTTTTTAAAAAAATTGATATCAATTATTATAGAGATATCATTTGCATTAAAACCAATTTTGACCAAAATTTTATTATGATGAACTAAAAATTTTGAAAAATTATTAAAACTTTAAAATTGTTCATCATACCAATTGTTTTCAACATACATGAGATTAAAACAAAACATAATCATTTAATATCACAACTCATGCATGCTTAAAATCGAATGAGTAACCAAATAACCCAAATTAAATCATTAAGCTTAGAGGTTACCCATTCCTTTTTCATGTGTGGCTAGAGCATCTTGAATATTATCACTTTCATCACCATTGCTCTCACACAACTACAAGAGACATTTATTTCGATTTTGGTATCCAAATTGCTTTGGATCCTTCAACGTTAGTTTCAATGCCTCTTGTTCCTTTCGGAATCCATACTTGTCTAATTTTAAAACGTTTTCCTTTCTTCAAATGACAAGTATGTTCCTTGTGACCATGATAATGACAATGTGGGCATATTGTCATTATTGAACTAAATGAATTATTTAAAATGATTTCTTTTTCTTTTGTTAAGCATTCAAGCTTAACTTTTAAATCAGAATTTTTTTTTTCAAAACTTTCAATTTTTATTTTTGGAAGCTCTAAATCCTTTTTCAAAATTTCATTTTGGCTTTCAAAATCTATTTTTGTTTTCAAAAGAAAATCGTTTTCGATTTTAAATTTTGAAATCATTTTCTTATATTTGGAGTTCATGGCTCAAACTCCGAATATAACCTATTAAAAGCATCTTGTAACTCATCAACCGTATATGAATAAATTCATTTGAGTTAGAAGATACCTCGGGCTCTTCACGAGTCATTAGAGACACCACTTTTATTGGTTTTTCTTTCTTGTTTCCATGGATTTCCTCAAGCTTATTCCAAAGTTCATTGGCACTTGAACATGAAGAAACCCCTTCATAGATTTCAGGACCAAATGCACAAAACAACATGTGCATGGCCTTGACATTAAGTTGAGCTTTCTTCCGTTCTTTGTCACTCCTCTTCTTATTCTTCTTTTTTGGAGAAGAGTAGCCGTTCTCGATTATCTCCTATGTATCAAGATCATTGGATTGGATTAATACCTTCATTAATTTCTTCCAATGATGATAGTTGACTCCATTGAAGTATGGAGGTTTGTCAGTTGGTAGGGAATTTTCCATGTGGAACGAGCCGGAGGTGGAAGTCATCTTCTCGGTTGTGTCGTCGGGAATTGGTAGAGCTTCTTCGAGGATTGTCTCAAGGTGGTTAAACCTTCTTAACGAGTTAGGCTCTAATACCAATTGTTGGGATTTTAGGAGGCTCGAATCGATAACCGAAATTGCTTGCAAAGAGGGTCGGGATCGATTTTTGTGTTTAGAGAGTAAGGAGACTAAAAGATAGAGAATTGCACAGCGATTTAGAGTGGTTCGACTTCTCAACTAAGTCTACATCCACTACCTTAGCTCCTTACCAAGGATTTTCCAACAAATTCACTAATTTGTTCTTTCTTTTGAGGACAAATAGTAACCTTACAAACTCCCTAGTTTTTCCGGGCTAAACTATAACCTTTCCCTAGCTTTTACACGAGATTAGCTAGAACCTTTCCCTTTTACAAAATGATAAAATAAGTAAACAAGAAAACCTCTCTAAGGTAGGTGTTTACAAGATTGAGCTCACAAGAACAAAATATTTACAAGAGAAAGATGAAATAAGAATGAAAAACTCTTCTCTTGTGTTTGATTGCTTGGATAGTTGTTCTCTTTTTTATTCAAGTGTCCTTAGCTTGTATTTATAGCTTGGAATGTGTTTGATGTTGTATATAGCCGTTGAGGATGTTTTGGAGCCGTTTGGGGATGATTTTTCTACTCAAAAAGGCTGTCCATAACATGGTGCATCGATACCCCTTCATTAAATTCAAATAAACTAGCCGTTACTAGCCGTTGCAGCCTTCGTGCATGGATGCACAACAGGATGCACAGAAGGATGCATCGATGCACTAATTGCATTCGGTGTTTGAGTGCATGGATGCACTGCATGGTGCATCGATGCCCTAGTGCAGGTGCATGGATGCACTGCAGGGGTGCATGGATGCACTTTGACACCCTTTAGCATTTTGGCTCAAATCCGAATTTAATGAACTTTGAATTATTTTTGAAACCTTTTAAAACTTTGAATAAATTCAATTAAGTCCAAAAACATTTTGTAAATTCAATTCAAGTCCAAAACCCATTTTGCCTTAAATTGTTATATCAAAACATAGTTCAACAATTTGTTTAACTAAAAATAAATTAGTGTGTTCACTTTAGCCATATCTCCCGTAAAGATAATCTGTGTTTCGTTTTCTTAAGTTTTATGAGGATATTATTTTCCTCCATTTAGAATTAGGGAGGTTTTTAATGAGGTACCTAACTCTTCGGGTGTATGTTTTCCCTTTAATCATATTGTTTTTTACCAAAACTTTTTTTTTAAAGAAATAATTTTTACAAATAACTTTTTTTAGAAATTAATCTCAAATAATAATTTATTATAAATATCGAATAAAATAAATATTATTATTTATTATAAAAATTAATATTATTTTCTAAAATATTAGAATAATTTATTCAATATTATTTATATTATTAGAATGTTATTCCTATAATTTATAAATAAAAAGATTATAATATATTTTAAAAATGTATTTTAAAATATTTAATAATGCAATAATAATGATAAGATAATACTTTTATAAAATTAATTGGATGAGGGGCGGCACAAAGCTGGCATGATTGAAGGGTTAATTGCATTTTTCTCAAATTCCCACCATTCACTTTAATCCCATTCAGACTAAGACGGGTAACCTCATTTCCAGTTGCGTCTCTTCAAAGCGGAAACAGGCCATGGCCGCCGCCGCTAATACCCGCCCGTTCTACTCCGATTCCAACCCTATTCAGCCCCACCGCTTTGTCTTCTCAGCTGATTATCCCCCCAAAATCTCACTCACTCCCGATCAGTTCAACTTCTGTTCCGAGGCTCTCAAATTCTTCTCCGAAAAGCTCCAAACGCCCCTCGAAATCATCCGCGAGTTCTCTCTCTTGCAGGTGCTAATTACTTCTTTTTTTTGTATTTTAAAATTGTTTTATCCGAAATTGGATATTAACTCTTGTTTTACTATTTGTAGGCAAATAGGGTTACACCTTCGGAGATGATGAGGAGATGCACAGTGGGTCTTAACGGTGTCAATATGGAAAAGAATAGATACTCTGATGTCGTACCATGTACTTAAAAATGTTTTATTTTCTTTCCAAAGTAAATTGTCTCAGTCGTTTGAATGATTAGTTTCGTAGAAAATGATTAAGAGTTTTTGTTTCTCTCGTTTTGGTTAAATTGATTTCTTCTGAGTACTTGCTTTTAATGGTTTCAGTTGACGCTAATAGGGTAGTTCTTAATTCATGCAAAGATTACAGACCAGCTTCAATGGGTTATATCAATGCTAGCTTTATCAAGGTAGATTTCTATGTTCTTTGTGTTTTAGTTGGAGGAGTTTATATAGGGAGTTTGAATGTTTCCTCGAATTGACCTATTTGGATCCTGCTATTCTTGAATGTAGACTTCTTCTTCGGGAAACATCTCTCAGTTTATAGCCACACAAGGTCCCTTACCTCACACTTATGAGGATTTCTGGGAAATGGTTATCCAATGCCATTGCCCTGTCATCGTGATGCTTACTCGTTTGGTTGACAATTATAAGGTACTTAGTTATCCAATGTCATTGCCCTTGAACGTGGTTGAGTTTGACTATATGCTGTTCATATTGTTTCCATCTAGGCATGTTTTGTTAAACCAGAAACCTTCACCATTCAAAGTTTGGTTGGTCCATCTAAGTGATTGGTCTTACATGCGTGTGCACTGTGCACGATAAAATTAAGTACAAACACTTTCCCCTAAACTATGATCTCCATGATAATTATTTGTTGTATTTTCATTAGTATAGAGTTTAGCCCTTGTTGTGTTTTTGATGACATTTGATAACATGTATGCTTGTACCCTTTTCTTTCTTTCAAAAAGAAAAATGTTATTGATATATATATATAATAACATTTTTAATAACATTTTTCTTTTTGATTATATTGGTTTCTTTTTGGATTATAATATATGGTAGTAGTATAATTTCTATAGTGAGGCAACAATTCGAAGGAAACTTTGTTTGTTTGGTCTTTATGCTTGCTTTTGTTTCCTAACTGTCGCGCATTCCTTTCAACAAACCATGTGAATTTGCCTCATGAAGTTATCATATGAACTAGTTGCTTTTGATGTTGGTGTTTTTATTGATGATATAATTTTGCGTAATATCATTTACCTTTTCACTTTTTGATCTGAGAATGCACAATTTCATGTTTTTGGTATTCATTTGGATTTTTGGTTTCATTCTTATTTAGAATTTATGTGCAGATGTTAAAATGTGGAGATTATTTTCAAGCAGAAGATAGTCCCAGACAATTTGGCAATATCTGTATTGATACTAAATGGATACAAGCGACAGAAACATCATTATTGCTACGCAACTTGGAAGTAAATTATAAGGAGGTATGATTTTTGTTATTCTTTAAAATGAAACTTGCTAAAGAGATGCTAATTATGCTTTTTCCCCCTTCTAATTTTATACTACATTGGTGTGGTTTAGGAAGAAAATAGCAGCAATCAAAAGAAATAAGCCTGAAAATTGATAGATGGAAGTTTGTACCCTATAAAAACATAGGGTTATATAAACCTATATATTTTGAAGTCTGTTAATTCAAATAAAATAACAAGGTTTTCTATGAAGCTATTTTACAACTTTTACTATGGTTATAAGAAAAAATTTATTCCCAACCTTAGATTTAAATCTTAAATAACTAATAATCCTAACCATCGATTTATGTATGTAATAATTAATAAATAAGAAAAATAATAAAATATCAGAATAATTAATGAAAAGCTCAAGCTCTTCAAAGGGAGTTTGAAACTCTTAGGACTCGTTAGAGATAGGCCAAGATTTCCTTATACGATTTTGATAAAAAATTGAATTACCTTTATTTTATTCATTGTGCCTTCAAATAAAGATTACAATACTTAAAGAAAGCGTATCAAATTAAATAAAATATTGTGAAACACAACAATTTTAAGAGTCCTAAAAGTTTTCTTATTCTAAGTTCTATCAAGCAACATCTCTTCATAGCCTCATCTAACAACTATTAATTGTCTGCAATAATACTCCCCTTCTGGGAAAACCATGTCTTCAAGCCTAGAGCCAGGATAAACTTGGCGAAAGGTGTTTTCCTCCAAAGTGGTTGACATTTTTCTGATGCTTACACATCCATCAATCATCATTGTTGTTGAAACAAATGCCATTTTACTAGATAATGTTAACTCTACTGACAGCTACATTTTCAGCTTGTTTAAATCATGTTACAGATTGCTTAGGCTAATTCTTAAGGATTGAATCACTAAAAATTAGGTACTTTATTATGTGATTATTATTGATAGATTTTTGTTTGTTTTTAACTACATGTTTTTAGGGTTCAAATGTGATAAAACTCTTTGGACATTGGGTTGGACAGATTGGGCTAAAAATTAACAAAATAAATTAGGCTAAATGTGTTACTCTTGATCCTAAGTGTATCAATTGTGTATTTCTAGGACACTCGTCTAATAGAAAGGGTACAAGTGTTACTCTTCTTTCAGCCGAAAATGTATACTTCCATCACCATGGATGCCACATTCTATGAAAATCAACGTTATTTTACCAAAGTTGACATCCAGAGGGAGAATTCAAAGGAATTTCAGCTTTGGACAACCTTTAACATATTCCTTCTTCCATTAAACTAGAAACCAAAGAGTCATACTTTCTTCTAAACCAACAATTGCCTTCTCAAAGACTCGCCAACCAAAACACTATCGTCCTCTCCTCTCCATCCAAAACACCATCCAAAATTGATCTTGAATCAAGAATTTCATGTCTATACTAGGAGGGGTCAACCTACATAGAGGATAAAGGATATCACAAATTTTCTAGAACTTGAACTTGATCATTTTGCCTAAAAAATCCACAATGTGTGGAATCTTCGCACAGTGAGACTCTTGTTCCTTTTACTGATGATTTAATTCTATCTATTGCTCAAAGAAAGGGTGTTCGAAAGTGCACTAATTATCCTATTGAGAGGCATGTGGCGTATGAAAAATTATTACCATCATATCGAGCATTTACTATGTTTCTTGACTACATATAGATTTAAAAACAATCCATGAGGCATTGGAAAACCCAGTTTGAAAAAAATCTATTGGAGAAGAGATTAAAGCCCTAGAAAGTAATGAGACATGGGTACTCACTGAGCTGCCACAAGAAAACAGTGGGTTGTGAATGGATATTCAGTCAAATGCAAGGTTAATTCAAAATAAGGTTGGTGGAAAAAGTGTTGACTCAATCACATGGAATTAATTACCAAGAGTCTTTTGCACCTGTTGCGAAACTAAACATAGTTCGGGTATTGCTATCACTGGTAGTGAATGAAGGTTGATTAATTCATCAATTAAAGATAAAAAATGCATTCCTAAATGGGATCTTGAAGATGCGTACTTGGGATACCTCCAAGTTTAGAAAATTCCTCAAATGGCTACAACATATGTAAGTTAAAGAAGTCAATGTATGACCTGAAACAATCTCCTTATGCATGGTTTGATTGGTTTACCAAATCTTTAATTAACTATGACTTCAGTCAGTGTCAATCAGATCACATATTTTCTTGAAGGTTTCACCAAAAGGTAAAAAAACCTTATTGTTCATGTTGATGATTGTGGAAACTGAAAACAAGTTTGTTTTCAAGTATTTTTCATATCAAAAAAGTTTACAGAGTTAGTCTTTTATAGACTAGAGTTTTACCCCTGCTAAGATGCCTAACAAGTAACAACTATACTTCTATCAAAAAAAAAAAAAGTAACAACTATACAAACATTTAAAATTTAATTTAGAGATAAGGTCAATCTAATCTAAACTAAGAGTATTAACAAATAACAAATTAACTAAGTATATCTACAACTCACACTCCCCCTCAAGCTAGTGAATATACATTGTATAATCCCAGCTTGCACATAAAAGCATCAAAACTTGCTCTTGGTAGTGCTTTGGTAAGCACATTAGCCAACTGTTGATTAGAGAAAACATAAGATAACTCAGCTATTCCACCATTAACCTAAAGTGCCTGTCAATCTCAATGTGCTTGGTACGATCATGATAAACAGGATTTCTAGCAATCATGATGGCAGATTGATTATAAATGAAAATGGAGAACTTGTCATCGTGATTTAGCTCTAATTCCTTGAGTAACCTCAACTACCACACCCCTTCACAAATTCCAAGAGCTAAAGCTCTATATTCTGCTTCAACATTGCTCCTAGAAACAACTGGTTGTTTCTTGCTTCACCATGTCACTAAATTCCCCCATACAAAAGTACAATAACCAGTAGTTGAACTTCTCTCAGTCAACTCTCCAGCCCAGCTCACATCCGCTTACACCTTTACTATTTTATCTTCAGATTTCCGAACCATGACCAGGAGTGAACTTTAAGTACCATATTATTCTATAGGCAGTAGTAAGATGTTCTCTAGGATCAGACATATGCTGGCTAATAATGTTAACAGGAAAGGTTATATCAGGCCGAGTTAAAGATAAATAAATCAATTTCCAACCAACCTTTGGTATTGCTCTTTGTCCACAGGATTTCCCACTTCTTCCTTATTCATCTTTAAACTTGTATCCATTGGAGTTGACGCAGGCTTACAACCTAACATCCTCATTTCGGCTAAGAGATCAAGAACATACTTCCATTGATTAATGACAATTCCTGAATTTGATCGAGCTACTTCCATACCTAGGAAATGCCTCAACTTACCCAAGTCCTTTATCTCGAACTCAATATTCAACAATCTTTTCAACCTGTCAATCTCACACACATCATCACCAGTAATAACAATATCATTTACGTACACAATCAGAATAACACATTTTTTATTAAGTGTAATCTTCACAAAAAGTGTGTGATCGACCTAACATTGCTTGTAACCATAACTAAGAATTACTCTATAAATCGTTCAAACCAAGCACGAGGGGATTGTTTAAGGCCATAGCGAGGCTTTTGTAATTTGCAAACCTTTTAAGTTTTTGAGTCTGTTTTCAAACCAGGACTGTGCCACATATACTCATCTTCTTCTAGCAAACCATTTAGAAAGGCATATTTTTATATCCAGTTGATGAAGCCCCTAATCCTTATTAACAGCCAAACTAAGCAAAACCCACACAGTTTTGAGTTTAGCTACCAGTGCAAACGTCTCTTTGTAGTCAATTTCATGGGTCTGAGTAAAGCCCTTGGCTACCAGTCTGGCTTTATACCTCTCAATGCTGCCATCCAAGTTATACTTCACTGCAAATACCCATTTGCAGCCAACAAGTTTCTTCCCCTTTAGTAGATCTACCATGGTCCACATGCCATTTTTCTCTAGAGCTCCAAGTTCATCTTCAACTGTTCCATTTTGAATTCTGTAAAGCCTATTCTATAGTGGATGGAATTTATACCTTGTCCAAGTTGGCTGTAAAAGCTTTAAAAGAAGGCTTTAATCTCCCATAGGCAACAAATCTTTGTATCAGATGTTTAGTACATTGCCTAACACCCTTCCTTTTAGCGATAGACAAATCATCAAAATTATGTTCATTCAGAGGAACTTTACTACCTTCATCACCTTGTGAAGCAATCGAACTGAGTGCCAACTCTCGTCAAGCACTAGAATGTAATATAGCCTCTAGAATAGGTTTTGGGCCTCGTTTATAGACTCGTAAGGTCTCGGTTGGTGTTTGAGTATTCGGTGAAGCTGATGAAGGTGACGGACTAGTGGGAGACATGCTAATAGGACTTGAAAATTTGTTTGGGACAAAAGTTGACACATGTTTCGAATGTTCCATAGGCAAAATAGGAGGATATAATAGGTCATCAATGAACAGAGAAGGTTGCAAACCATCCACAGTCTCCCTTGGATTGCAACCGCTTGGAAATAAGGAACCTGTTCAAGAAATGAGACATCCATAAAAAAAAGATTTTGTGAGAAGTGGGACAATAACATTTCTAACCCTTCTTAAGAGAAGAATACCCTAGAAAAAGACATCTACGAGACCGGGGATCCAATTTGGATCGAGTAGGATTGGTGTTTCGAACAAAGACAATAGTACAACCAAATACACGCAAAGGAAGAGTAGAGGACATAGGTTTAAAAGAAGGATAATTTGCTAAGAAAACATTCCGAGGAGTTTGAAAATTTAATACCTTACTAGGCATTCGATTAATTAAATATTTGGAGGACAAAAGAGCCTCATCCCATAAACGTTTAGGAACATTGGTAGAAAAAAGTAATGCACGAGTTACCTCTAACAAATGCCTATTTTTTCTCTCTGCAACTCCGTTTTGCTGAGGAGTATCAACACAAGAACTAATTTGCATTATGCCCTTCTCTTGGAAAAAATCACCCAAGGTGTTTGCAAAATACTCTCCACCATTATTGG